GTGCAGGTGACTGCCGTGCGGAGCGAACTGGTGGCTTGGAGTGGAGTAGGACAGTTGGAGGACTGGGGTCTGGCGCGGATGGTCAGACTGTGTGCTGAGCTGCTGCTATTTTAAATTCTTTACTGGACTGTAATATCAATCCTTTAACTATGTTATAACCATCTTGTTGCTAACTTATTTTTTAGACACTGTAAGTAACGCTACTACTTTTCCTTTTATTTCTGTTTTGTATCCAAGATTTGTAGATAGGTAGTTGTACCTAAGATGGTACCATTAGAAGGCAGCCATTGTAAAAACTTTTCACTGTACTCCAGTGAAATACTTCCGTACTGGGGTACACGTGACAATAAAGGATATTTCATTCTAGCTTTCACATGTTTGGTGTTCCCACATTGTTTCTTATTTGTCAGACTGCCTAATCTGTCATCTGGTATGGATGAGCAGAAATCTCCTCTTGTTAAACATTGGAAAGATTTAATCCAAAGTAATTTGTTCTCATGCCAACCTTTTTTTTGCCGCTATGTCTAACTTTCTCCCTTTTGGAGGCTGAACTGGATTCTTCAAAAAACTTGATATCCTACTTAAACTCTGAGATGAGTTTCTGAACACAAATTGCCTATCACCAAGACTACACATTCAGACATCAACCGTCTCCATCTGTAGCTCAGATCATCTGCTGCTAAAACTTACATCCGTGCCTTAAAACCAAGACTCTGTTACTCTGACAAACTCCTGGCCAGTCTCTCATCTTCCACCCTGTCCCCACAAGGTAACCATGAAGGATGGAATGGAGTTACCAGGCAGCAGTGACTGTGGGACACCTGGAGGATAGCAACAGAGGAATTTGGTGAGTAAGCCAAGGGTGGGAGAGACAGGGATTCCTGCGCCAAAGGATGTGTGGACTTGAGGTTGGAGGTTGAAGGATTAATCGCCTCGCACTGACCACCTAGAATGAAGAAAACAAAGTGATAGTTTGTTGGGGAAAAGATTATGACCCAGAAAACAGAGATGATTTTTTGGTCAAAATATCAGATTTGTCCCGAGAAGATTTGTGGCTTGGATTGTGAATGAGGTTGTAGACATGCTCGCCAAGCCGGTGGGTTTGGTTACAAACGTTTCGTCACCCTGCTAGTTAACATTGTCAACATGCCTCTGCTGAAACGTTGGTGTTCTGTCCCACTTGTAATTTATATGCCTCAGTTTGTTGGGGTGTTTGGTACCATTTCCGGTTCTGTTTCTCAGTGGTTTGTACACAGGGTCTAATTCAATTTGTTTGTTGATGGAGTTGGAATACCAGGCCTCCAGGAATTCCCTGGCATGTCTCTGTTTGGCTTGTGCGATTACGGATGTGTTGTCCCAGTCGAATTAGTGTCCCTTCTTGTCCGTGTGTAGTGAGACCAGTCAGAATTGGTCGTGTCTCTTGGTGGCTAGTTAGTGTTCATGTATCTGTATTGTCAGTTTTCTTCCAGTTTGGCCAATGTAGTGTTTCTCATAGTCCTTGCATGGTATTTTGTACATTACACTGGTTTTGCTGGTTTTTGGTATGGGATCGTTTATGTTTGTCAGTAGCTGTCGTGGGGCGATTGTTAGTTTGTGGGCTATCCTGATACCCAGGGGTTTGAGTAGTCTTGTGATCATCTTCGAAATGTCCTTGATGTGTGGTAGAGTGATTAGTGAGTCTGGTCATGTGTGGTCTGTCTCGGCAGATTGTGCTTTTTGGGCATCCATTCCTTTTGAAGACTCTGTATAGGTGTTCCTCTTTTGTACTGCGCAGTTCCAGGTTGCTGCAATGTATTGTGGCTCATTTAAATAGTGTCCTGATGCAGCTCTGTTTGTGGGCATTGGGGTGGTCGCTAGTGTAATTGAGTACCTGGTCCATACGTGTGGTCTTTCTATATATGCTAGTCTGGAGTTCCCCATTGTTTTAGCGTTCTACCATTATGTCCAGGAAGGGTAGTCGGTTCTTGTTTTCTTCTTTTGTGAATTTTATCTCAGCGAGGATGTTGTTTATGTGTCGGTGGATTTCTTCTAGTTTTGTGCGTTTGATAATCACAAAGGTGGTATTTACATATTGGGCCCAAAGTTTGGGTTGTAAGGTGGGGGAGAGCTGTCCATTCTAACCTTTGCATTACTACTTCTGCAATCAGTCCTGATATTGGGGATCCCATTGGTGTTTCATTGATTTGTTTGCATATGCCGTAATTGAAGCGTAGTGGGTTGTGCGGCACAGATTTAGTAGTTTCATGGTGGTGTCCTTACTGGTGTTGTTGGTGTCCTGAGTTGCCTGCCTACTTGATTTGTCCAGCAGTGTGGCAATTGACTCTTTGGCTGGGCCGATGTTTATAGATGTAAATAGTGCTGTTACATCGAAGGGTATAATCATCTCGTCCTCTCTTATCCTGCTGTCCTTGATGATGTTGAGGAATTCTTGGGATGAGTGGATGGAGTGGGTAGTGTTGTCAAATAAGTATTTCAATTTCTGTTGTAGCTCTTTGGCAAGCCTAGATGTTGATGTGCCTGGTAGTGAGACGATGGGTCTGAAGGAGACCCCTGGTTTGTGTACCTTGGAGAGTCCATAGAAGCAGGGTATGTTGGATCCCTCTGACTTCATTTTTTGGTAGTCTGTCTTGCTGATGTCTCCTGAGTTGTGTAATTTCTTAGGGTTGTAATCTCGTTCCCTAACTGCAGTGCCAGGTCTGGCGCCATCTGTTGGTAGGTGTCAGTATCTAATAGTAGTGTGTTGGGCTGTATTGAGGATTACCGTCATGCGTCCTTTGTCCGCTGGTAAGATTACAATGTTCCTGTCTTTCTTGAGTCTTTCCAGGGCTTTCCTCTCTTCTGTGTTGAATGTGTTCCACTTTCCTTTTTTGCTCAGTGTTGGGACTATCATTTGTCTGATGGTCTGTTATACTTCTTCTGTGAGTCCACTATTCTTCAATGTCGATTCCAGTGCAGCCAGGAAGTCAGTCTCTTTGCCATCTCTGAAGTTATAATTCAGTCCTCATACTAGGATGGTCTTGCTCAGTGTCTGTAAGTGGTCTGTCCGAGATGTTTTTAATCCATGAATCTGTGTTGTCGATGTGAGTGATTTTGGGCAGTTTTTCTTGTAGGGCTATTCTTTTCTTTGTTCTGGTCCTTTGTTGTTGTATGCTGATGGCTTGTTCCAGTGTGGATGTCCATTCCTGGTCAGTTGTGTTGGAGAACTGAGTTTTTTGGAGTGCAATTTCCTGCTCGTACTTGTGGAGATCGTTGATCATAACCCTTATCATTCTGCGGGCGTTCTGTTCAGCTGTCCTTCATGCCTGTGGATTGTTGACTGGTGATTTATATTTTAAGCTTTGTGGTAGTACCTGCTTTCTCAGGCATGTTTGTGCGTCGCGCTCAGACGGATGGCATTTGTTTCTCATCTACGGGACAGTTTGACGGCATTGCGGCCGTAGGTGTTTAATGTTTTCGAGATGATTTGTAGCTTGGGTTGTGGATATGCTTGCCAAGCCGGTGGGTTTGTGCAAACGTTTTGTCACTCTGCCAGGTAACATTGTCAGTGTACCTCCAGTGAAGCGTTGGTGTTTTGTCCCACTTGTTATTTATATGTGTCAGATTGTTGGGGTTTAATCATTCATAGAATCCCTACAATGTGGAAACAGGCCCTTTGGCCCAACAAGTCCACACTGACTCTCAGAACATCCCACCCAGACCCATCCCCCTAGTCTACACATCCCCTGAACACTATGGGGTAATTTAGCATGGCCAATCCACCCAGCCTGCACATCTTTGGACTGTGGGAGGAAACCCACGCAAACACAGGGAGAATGTGCAAACTCCACACAGACAGTTGCCCGAGGTTGGAATTGAACCCAGGTCCCTGGTGCTGTGAGACAGCAGTGCTAACCACTGAGCCACCATGTCACCCTGTGTTCGGTACCATTTCCAGTTGTTTCTCAGTGGTTTGTACACAGGGTCTAATTCAATGTGTTTGTTGATGGAGTTCCGGTTAGAATACCAGGCCTCCAGTAATTCCCTGGCATGTCTCTGTTTGGCTTGTGCGTTTATGGATGTGTCGTTCCCGTCAAATTCGTGTCCCTCATTGTCCGTGAGTAGTGAGACAAATGAGAATTGGTCGTGTCTCTTGGTGACTAGTTAGTGTTCATGTATCTGGAAAGTCAATTTTCTTCTGGTTTGGCCTATGTAGTGTTTCTCACAGTCCTTGCATGGTATTTTGTATATTACATTGGTTTTGCTGGTTTTGGGTGTGGGATCCTTAATGTTTGTCAGTAGCTGTTGTGGTGGTTTGTGGGCTACCCTGATACCAAGGGGTTTGAGTAGTCTTGTGGTTATCTCTGAAATGTTCTTGATGTATGGTAAGGTGATTAGTGAGTCTGGTCATGTTGTGTCTTCCTGATGTGGTCTGTCTCAGAGGTGAGGGCGGATTGTGCTTTTTGGGTATCCATTCCTTGTGAAGACTCCAGAGAGGTACTCCTGTTCTGCTTTGTGTAGTTCTGGGTTGCTGCAATGTGTTGTGGCTTGTTTAGATAGTGTCCTGATGCAAGACACCCCAACAAACTGAGGCATACAAATAAACAAATGGACAAAACACCAACGCTTCTCCAGAGGCACAGTGACGATGTTATTTAGATGGGTGACGAAACGTTGGCAACCAAACTCACCAGCTCAGCTAGCATGCCTACAACCTCAGGCTTCTCCCATCAAAATATTTGTTCAGAAATAAAAAGACTAGCTTCATAATCACTGCCATTCGAAAGATCGTAAGAAAAGTTGAATAGTCTGTTTTCACTGCTACAACATCTCATGTTACCACTTTTCGTTCTGTTAAGGAACTGTCATCTCAGTCTCCAGATGGGGATTTTGAAGGCGGGCACTAGTCACGCGGGGAAAGATGGTGTGATTCGGTCTGGGCCGGACGCCGTCTCACCGCTTGCGGATGATGCGCATGCGCAGGATCGGTCACGGCGGTGTTTCTGCGGAACCAATCTCCAGAACTGGGGGTTTGGGGAGGGAGAGAGGAGTGAGACCCCTTTTGCGGGGCGCAGAGGGCGTTGGGGGGACCTGAGGCAGTGACGCACACAGCGGGGCAAAGGGGCAGCGCCCGGCAGAGACCGAGTGAGAGACAGAGAAAGCCAGGGGGAGGGATCCCGAAGCCGCGGCGATGGCAGATTTCAACATCGACCAGAGCAGCCTCCCCACCGTCAACACAGGTAGGAGCCGAAGAGAGGGTTCAGTCACCGAACAGACCCCTAAACCCGTCCCACCCTCGCCATCTATCCCCCTCACAGTTACACCCCCCATTTAACCCACTCCTGCCTCCCATATCTCCTCCATCTGACCCAACTGCCATCTCCCATCTCT